ATGTCAATTTTCAATCATATATGTGCTTTCAATTCAGACAGCAAGCATGATTGGGTACTATATATAAATAAATGCAGAATTTATAAATGTGTCTATACATCTAGGAATTAAAGTAAAAGTATATCATTTTAATTTATATCTTGGTTTATTGGGGTTTGCAATTAGAATGAGCCAGTTTTATAATTTGGTTTAGAAAATTATTATCTAATTGCAATTGTTCGGACAAAACCCGCCAAGTGTATGGGATTATTGTACAAGTAATAGAAATAAAGAATTTCGAATTTATCGTTCTTACAAAGAATAAAATTTATAATGTAGTTCAACAGTTAATATTAAATAAGTGAGTAGTGACAACAAAAGAGTGATTTTGTAGTTATATATACCACTTGCATTCTGTACTAATAAAGTAAGTAAATTGTGGTTTTATCAAATTTAATGTTTTTGTTGGATTCATGATTCCTCCTTTTTCCATCTATTTCATTTACCAATTAATAATCTAGTTAATTTCATGCATTTTTGACAATTGATAACAATAATATGTTAAATGCTCTTTTTCAAGATGCACTAACCTGTAATTGACATGACCTGATCATTTTTCTAGTTCGAATTCATATGAAACTCATGCATTTAGTTTAGATTATCTATATGATTGTTCATGCCATAGATATTATTCATAATATATATTGTTTATATGTTAATTTTACCGCATTCTAAACTTATTACGAGTATTCCTACACTACAACAAGTAATTAACTATTTAATTAATTGTCAAACAATTAAATAGTGCAATGAGAATGCAAAATCAATCATAACAAAAATACCTAAATTAAAGTCTTAAATTCAAATAAATAAAAACATGGTTCCTCTATCATCCAATATAATTGGAAAAACTTAGCTAATCATCCTAAATATTGAATTAAACAAGGAAATATCGAATAACATAACTCAGATCAAGAAAGGATGGATGAAAGTGGATTTCTCCACTTTTTTGAAAGCAATCTTGGAAAGGAAAGAGAAATCTTCAATAATATTGTGGAAATCCGCTTTTGATCGATGAATTGGCCTCATTCTTCGCCTCCAAGATATATAGAATATATGAATTTTAGGTCTAGGGTGGTTGAAAATGTTCTGGACGTATTTGTGTCTTATATAGAGTGTCCAAACATTGCATATCAAAATAAGGAAAGAATTTTTTTCTTCGAGAACGAACCATGCGTACTCATGATTCAATTTAAGTGTACACATAATTCATTCAATTTAGCCTTAGTCAATCCAAATAAGGTGTAAGTTTTACCCATGGCCTATAGGCCTATGTGTAAACATGGTATGGACATTTTTGGACCAAATTGTATATTGGTTCCTAAACTTTCCTAAGTTTGTATTTTGATCATTTTCGATAATTTTTTCATCCTGTTGGCATTTCTTCACCTCCAATTGATCCTTGACATTCTTAAATCACTGTCTTGCAATCTGACACAACTATTGGAATGCTGCACTTTAGTCGACATAGTTTGGATTTCGTCATTTTTCTTCAATTTTCCGTTCTTTCTCC